GGGATTACCTTTGTGAAGATTAGGCTGGTCCTAAGTTTCATTAAGTAATTCGGTATGAATATAATATACAAGTTTCACTTTTTAAATGGAATTACTGAAATAAATCTACTTTTTCATGATATTCTAATTTTATGACCAGCACCTGTAGTAGACAAAACATACTGAATATAATAAATGTTACAAGATTTGAACAAAACAGCTACAACACTATCCCAGTTAAAAAAATAAAAACTCTTGAAAGGCTCCAGGAAATATGCACTCATTCAAGAAATCCTAGGCCTTTATTTTTGTTTTGCTTTGCCAATAGTGAACATAAATCCTTATAAACAAAGCATTCCTTGAATATTTGAGGGGAATCCAGTCTGACAGAAAAGTTTGCATGAGCTGAACTAATTAGTTTTCAGTGGTCTAAGGTCAAGGGCACTGAAACCTTACGGGACGTAGAACTTGTGAATGCATTATTCCTTTAATGTCCACAAGGGAAAAAATATATATTAATCTTTTTATTTCTTTTATTTATTTATTTTTTGCTAACTAACTTTTTACATGTTGGTGGTCAAAGGTCAAGAGGTTACATTTGCCATGAGGGTGTAACGCCTCCAAAACATTGCAWGTCGTTGCATTTATCTGACATGACCAAGTCCACAAAACCAGATTTACTAGTGTTTATAACACAGTTTCAAACAAATATGATCATTAGTTTTTTTTTCTTGTTGTTGCTTTTTTTTAGTACAGCCACACGGTCAACTCACTTGCTGAGACATTTTAAAGCCATATAAGAAACAGGGAAAATAAAATGAAACAGAAATATTCCCCCACCATTATGTCTATGTATTGTTGCTTGTGTCCATACAGACAGAGTTGTGTGCTCCTTATTACAGCCAGGCTCAATTTAAGTGTCTGCCACTCACAAATACACCATTAATCCCAGTTTAAGTGCCATACATTTCTCTGTCTGTCCTCCACTGGGCTCAGCACAGACAGGGCCAATAAAAGAACAAAGATTCAGCCAAGAAATCGTCTGCATTGGGGGGTTGGACAACTCTACCCACAGCTCATTCTCATCTGTTTGTATTCTTTCCTTACATCCTCTTCTTTTTGTCAGAACCCTAAGCTCCCTTCACTTTCTTTCAAATCCTATTATTCTTTGCTTCTTTCAGTTTTTTCATTGTCTTTTGCAGCCTTATTTCTTATAATGTGCACACACTAATTCCAATTTAGTTCTTTTTTTTCTGTTCTCTTTTGATTTGTCACTTATTTAAAACAGGCCTGGGCCCTTGACTAATCAACAGGACAGCCCAACAAATCAGCAGTTAATCTTGACTTTGGTATATGTGCTTTCAAACACAAACAGACCAGTGTGTACGCACAAATACGTCCGCACAATGGGGCCACGCGGGTCCTTTTCACTACGATAGGCTGCCTGAGGTGAATCACGTTGGTGTCCTGGAAACCAGAGTGTTTTGAGGAAACATAGTTTTACTGTTGCTTTTTTTTTTGTCTTTTATGATACAAGTGTCTGTCTCAAGTTTTATTTTCTGTCAAATTARGCCAACTGATTTTTTTTTCATCCCTCTCTGTGCATTAATTATCACCCACTGCCATGAAAGGTGGATCTGGCTGTGTTTGCTTGTCTGTTAACAAAGTATCTCATGAACCAGTGAACTGAATTTAACAACTTTCTCAGAGTGTAAGCATTAGATATACATCTGTGGTCTAGTCAATCTGATTCAAGATGGTCTTAGCAGACACACAAATAATCTAAACTAAAATGGTTTTACAGCTGTTTTTATTTCATTTTTTTTTCTCTGCCATGTAAAATTCATAAAAGTTTATTAATGCAAAATAATATTTTAACTACAGGTATATTACCTTTTTTGTAATTGTTTTTTATTCAGAATCAGTAATGATCCTGTGGTCACAGTGAACCATAATAACTGTGTAGCCTTTAATTTGTATTACAGGGGTTGTTCAGTTCCCCGAGTCTACACTAAACCCCTTGGGTCTTATAAAAATCAAGGAGCATCGATAGTTTTCATATCCTCATAGGGGAGGTCACGGGTTTACAGAGTTCCTTCTGTGTTTTATGGGTGAGGGGTGTGGAGTGTGTGTGTGTGGTGGGGAAGGGGGCAGTGTAAGCTGTCTGCTGAACTGGTATTACCATAAGGAGAGAGGGTTAGGTAGAGTTCAGGCAGGGACCCTCACCACCACCCCACCCTTCCATCTGCAAATCAAACACATCCCACATTCACGGAAACTCACTCGCTCACTCAATATTGACAACACAAGTGGTTTATGTTTCCAGCCATCTGCTTCTTGTGTTTGCTTCATTGAGTGTGTAGCATCATCAGCTGCTCCTGCTTTTTTTGTTGACACCATAAAGAACAAGGACTGACTGAYAAAATGCATGTAGTTTAGTTTCATTTAGTGTTTTGTTTTTGTCGATAATCTGCAGATTAGTCGTATAAGTTGTTGAAAATAGCTCTTTCTGTTTCATCAGGAAATGCATCATAATAAACAGCATGACTCATGGAGGGTATGATCAAACAATCATGACACAATTTTATTTTTGCTCACATTTCTTTTTTATATTTTGTTCTGTTCCTATATTAGGAAAGAATAAATTATTTATCCACGTAGGAAAACCAATGGTGAGAATTCAAAACTAAAAAGTTTCATTAAGACGTTAAAGTTTGATTTCTGCCACATATTTTATGCAGCTCATTATGGAATACAGGGACATTGTGCTATAATGTTAGTAACACATGCTGCCACAAAGGCGAGTCAAAGTGTCTTCTTGGAAAAAAGTCTGGTTGGTTTATATTCTAAATTTGACTTACGATTGATTGAAATCTGTTTTTGTAGTGCAGTTATAATTTATAAAGATGATAACCTTCAAATGTCAGGTGATCCTGTGTTTGATCTTCGTGTATAAAGCTTAAAGATTTATGGGTCTGCTGTCTGTCACAAGCTGAACAGTGCAGACAGAAAATTTACAACACACCCACATCGGTATCAGTTTTCACTCCACAGGCAGCTGCTGCACTTCCACGGCATTTCTATCCACGTCTATGCAGCGAGAACTTTCACAAAAACTGTCTGGTTTGTAAAGTGTTACACAGTTCACAGACTTTTTCTCCTTTTAGTAAAAAGCAAGCCATGACAAGATCCAGCTGATCAGTCATAGCAAACGTTGCCTGGGACAGCACCAACAGGACCAGATGCTCTTTGGCTCCTCCGCCGTACAACCCCACTGACCTTTGGGTCCATTGTTTGCAAAAGGAGACAGTCGCTATGTCTCAATGAAATTTCTCAACTCGGCATGTTTCTCTGCAGCTCTAACATCGTTTTTTTTTTCTCTATCATCCTCAGATACAAAGACCTTGTGATCCCAACTTTGGGAGACAAGAAGAAACTGTCAAYAGAGGAGAAGTGTCGCTTAGTGCTTCAGCAATCAAAGCTCCAAGGATGGCAGGTGTGTTTGTGTGCACGCCTTGGACTTTTCTTTTTTTGTCTTCATCGATAACAAAAGATTTGCCAGATGACTTAATCTCTGACCCCTGTGTTTGAAAGGTCTCATGGAATCTTGACAGCTTGTTCCAGCTGCCCCAGCCTCATCATAATTCCACACACACACACACACACACACACACACACACAGCAGCAGCAGCATAAACCCGTCCACCCCTCTCTCTGTGTTCTGTCTGCTAGACTGCTGTTGTGTCTGAATGTTGTGACCTGTAGGGTCACACACACTCCCCCACAATGCCCTGCAGACGATGTTCATGAACCTCTGTTTCACAAAATGACGCACACACACACACACAGACACAAACACACAAGCTCTGCACACGGCTGGCGTTTCATTAAATAGTCTGATCAGTAGAAGTATGTCACCCTCACAGATCTTTGCACCTTRTGTAGATTGACCCTTAAGTCCTGGGAGTAAAAGCATTGCCAGTATGCAAATCTGGATGCTATTCACACTTTCCTCCCACCTATTATCATAAATTATTGCTGCATCAGTGCTTGTCCATCAATAAATTGCCATTTGTTTGCGTTTTTAAACAGAAAACAGCTTCACAGTTTTTACTCATCACTTATTGATGCTGTAATGCGTGTAAAGCGAGAGTCTCAAATGTAGTGTGTGTGTTGTGTGTTTGTAGATGGGCCGTAGTAAAGTGTTTCTGAGATACTGGCAGGCCGACCAGCTCAGTGATCGCTGCTACCAGTTTCACAAAAAGATTATCACCTGTCAAAAAGGTAACATCCAAATAACAAGAAGCACATAACAATCATGCTCCTGAAAACCATTTCAGTTGGTGTCTGACACATTTTATTTCATCTTTTTGCATTTCTTTCCAATGGTTTAGTGGTGCGCGGTTGGTTGGCCAGACGACGAGTCAATCACAGGCTGTCATTGCAGCACAAAGAGAAGGGCGGCGTGCAGCGTTTCCTGCAGGGAGCAGAAGACATGGGACTCCGAACCTACGACCAGCTGGTCATCCAAAATGCATCCGACATCGCACGAGAGAGCGACCGTCTGCGTGGCCATTGCCTGCTCGGTACCCGCAGCAGCAGCCCACCTCTTGGTGAGAGGCCTGAGCCGGTGGGGAAAGAGGAGGATCAGCCGGTCAGGAGGTACATCAACAAACAAAGTACACATCATGGATTGCTCGTTTTAAAGACTAAATGTCTTGGAAGTTGAAACCAATAGAATCTGAGATTTAAAACTTGTGAACAGAATGTGGTATACACTCAACGTTTAATGTACTTTTGACCTTTGTTCTCATTTTAGTCAATTTTTTTGATAGATTGATGACAGTTTGTACATCAGGCTACAACAGTCATTCAACTACTTGCCTAAAACTTAAATTACAATTTACAGAAGAAAATGCTTTGATTCTTAGAAGTATTAAGTAAATTGTATTATTATTGTTTTTATGTTTCTTTGTTGTGGTGGATGTACAGTAACAGGTCTCTCTTGTAAATGAGACAATGAGTCTCAAGAGATTATCCTGTATAAAGGATAAATAAAAAATAATAATAATATAATAAATGGTAAACGACAGTTACTTTATAACCTAATACTTACTAACCCTAACCTAATAAGCACATACTAAAAAGTATTCATAAGTACATTTTTAAAGATGTGTAAATGTTAAATCTTAACGTAAACTGACATTCTTTGGTTATTAAAACAGTTTGAATCTATCGTCTTTTGCTTTGGTATTTCAGTATTGGTTTTATTGTTGTGGCAGCTGGGGCTAAGTTGTTAGGGGAGTCATTCCTCAAATTAGAGAGTTGGTGGTTCAATTCCCCCGCTATTCAGTCACATGTCAAAGTGTCCCTGGACAAGACACTGAACAAATGTGTGAGTGTGAATGGGTGAATGAGGGCACAGATTGTAGTGTAAAGTGCTTCATGGATCCTGGCTGGATAGAAAGGTGCTGTTTACAGTCCATTTACCATCTTATTTGTTTTTACATTTTATAGACAAATAAACTGACTAAAAATGTGACTATTAGAAAAATACCATGCAGGTAAATCAGTTAGCTCTAATTTATCAAAAACAACCATTAGTTGCAGCTCAGTTGTAGTTTATTTTAGAATACTGTAAATAATCAAAATCAGATTTTCACAAGAATAGTGCCTCTAAGAAGAGCCACAATTTGTTTCATAATTTCTTAATGTGATGACTTTATAAGTGACGGCAGAGTAACAAACCTTCTGCAGTCTGTCAGTCACAAGATTAATTATTGTATGAAGGAATCGTTTACCTCTCTAACCATGTTTGTGTGTGTAATCATGTCTATCTGTGTGTATGTGTGTGTGTGCCAACATGTGCCCAGCAGGTGTTCTGTGATTAATGATGTCATTCTATACCTGTGCGCTCAAGACTTTTAATTGTAAGCTTCGTGATGGATGGCCAGATAATGAGCTGTGTTATCAGATTGTATAGTATTGCACCTATGGAACACTACTCCAGTCAACACATCGCCTCAGTCTAATGTAGCAAATTACCCCAAAGGAAACAGAATTAACCCAAAGGGCTTGTGTTAAGGTAATAAATAAAATGAATGCACACATTGCAAAGAGCAGAACCCTAAAGATACATACATATATATATATAT